ATGAGGCCAACAAGGACATACTTGAACTTCACCATGGCTCCTTGCACAGTGCCTGTGACTTTGCCCAGGAACTTATCACTAATGGCACTGACTCTGATGTCATGGTTCATGCAAAACCTCTAATAGAAAGATTGGCATTAATGGAGAAAACACCTGTACCAACTCCAGACACACCAGCACAGATATCCTACAGCCCTGGTAAGATATCTGTGACCAGAATGATAGCCATGTTAGGACAGGTGACAGTAGAGTCACAATCTGTATTAGCTGGACAGGGAACAAACCCAAGTTCTGCACTGCATACTCCTGTTTTCTTACGGAAGGCAAGGTATGTACATGCCTTCAGTGCTCAGCTGAAAGATGACAAAGCAAGAATGTTCGTAACTGGATTGGCCATTGATGAGCAATATACATATGCTGTGGATTCATATTATTTTTTGGTAATGAGAGGGAATGACAGAACAAAATTGTTCACACATAATGGAGAATTTAAGTTTGACATTAAAGTAAACAATCCATTTCATGTGGCAGTGTCACAAACTGGTCACATGTATATAACATCACGGGGTGACAGATGTGTCCAAGTGTACTCCACCAGAGGTCAGCAGGTGACAACCATGGGCCAGAGCCACCTCAAGGATCCACGGGGTATTACGCTGAACAGACAAGGTCATGTGATGGTTTGTGACGTGGAAAAGAGGTCCATCTTCACATTCCATGCAGACAATGGACAGCTCCTGAACACTATTCCACTCAATATGTGTGAAAACCCAGAGTTCATCACAGTGAACAGTGTGAATGATAACATTGTGATATCAGACAATTATGAACACTGTGTACATGTGCTGTCACCTACTGGTGATTGGCTGTGCCAGTATGGCAGCACAGAGGGTAGTGGTGATGGTCAGCTGGCTGTACCATGTGGAGTGTGCACAGACAGCTATGGTCACATCTTCATTGCTGACAGTGATAACCACAGAATAGTGGCACTGAGTCCACAGGGAGAGCTTATCAGATACATTGCCACTAAAAATGATGGGTTGAAGCATCCTGCAGCATTAGCCATCAACCCTGCTGGCCAGCTTGTGGTAGCAGAGGCAGAGGGACAAATTAAGACATTTCAGTACTTACAATAAATGCAGCTGTTACTGAATTCAGATAAAATATATTTAACAATACTAATGTTTTGATGCAGTTCATCTGTTGACTTACCACAGAAAATTAAACCTATACTAACAAATAGTAAACTTTTTGTTGCTAATGGAAGGTTCGATGAGGGAGAATTCACCACAGAAATAGCCAGTGTTATAGCCTATATAATAGGCAGTGTACATTTTATGAGTCTGATAGAGAAGATACAGGTGCTAGATTTCAGTAAACTCTATTCTGATATATACACAAACCAATATCATGTACTTTGAAGAAAAATGAGCCACTGATCCCTAACCAAAATGATACAATTAAAGATTCTACCACCCCTTCTCAACCAAATATGGCAGGATGATAAAGGCACTGTATATACTGAAAATATTAATAAAATTGAGATAAAAAACCTAATGCTTACCTTAGTGAAAATGAAGTAAGCCATACACAGGATACTATTAATGATATATCTAATATATCTAACACTATCCGCCCTATTAAATGTGTCAAATGAGAGAGGTGTGTCCGCACTTGTAAAGTTTATAAACAGTGCTATGAGAAAACGGAAGCTATCCAAATTGAGATAACACCTGGTATTATACTTTAACTTTATTATTACTATATACATGTATTTAAACTTAAGTATATTATAATTAGTAGTGTAGAGAGCCTATAAATGTACACTCATTTCATGTGCTCAATAAATTATTATTATTATTATTATTATAAGGTTGCAACCATCTTACTGAACACTGCAAAAGAGACTCTTGGCTTGAAACCCTCAAATAAACCAAAATCACAAAAACAGGAATGGTTTTACCAAGACTGTCTCAGAACTAGCAAAATGTTCAGGAAATGCCAGAGGGCCTTCAAGAAAAATAAAACTAAGGAACTTTAAGATGAGGTGTAAGCAAGCAGATCTGATGAAAAAATTGAGAAGTTTAATGAGCACAGACCTGAGAGAATTTTGGAAACTGCTAAGTAAGGAGAATGAAACAAAAACTGCAAAATTTAATATCAATTTCTTTTCTTTTCTTTTTTTTTTTGTTTTTCTAAATAAATAAACTATTGCAATATTCCTATTTTGTATGTTTATATGTTTATATAATATCAACATTATTGCATAATTTTGCGGGACACCCTCCCAATCTGACGCCAGTGGCTAGAGTCAGTATTGCTGATATGGGTTACATATGAAATCAAGATTGAGCTGGCAATACTGAAATCTAGAACCTAGGGTAGTATATAAATGAAGTAGAGAAAACTTTATTACAAACTGCGTATTGTAAGTATTGTGCTAAATGATGGAAAAATAAAAAGTCTTTTTTCCTTCATTAGTTGCCAGCTATTATAACTATGGAGGTCTCTTTCACACAAAGCATAACAAACATGGCCCTAATCAATAACCTAACCTAAAGAGTAAAAACAATACAACTACGTCACCAGCCAATACACTGACCTGACAGTTGCTATGATCAGGTCAGCGTCAAATAATAAACAGACCCCATGTTTTTCTCTACCTTTGAACAGATCTGATTCGGGACATGAAGAAACAGGACGTACATTAATACGCTTAGTGGAAAAAACATTACACTCCATAAAAGGTATACTGAGTAAGTGTTACATTTTTGTGATCTCTTTTTGCCAGATCTGCAGGAATCTGTGACACTTTTTTGACTATCAACATCACCCCAGCTAGCTTTCTATACCTTGTACGTTAACAAAGAGACAGTCAGATATGGCAGAAGCACTAGCAGCAGATATCAAAGATAATATCTTAACATGCAGTATTTGTCTGGGAGAGTATGAGGACCCCCGTGTGCTGCCTTGCTACCATACATTTTGCTATGGTTGTATATGTGACCATGCTGAGGGAAAAAAGAGTTCAAACAATGCATTTCCTTGCCCTCTTTGCCGGGAAGAAATCCAGGTTCCAACTGGTGGACTTATTGAACTAAAAAAGAATTTTGTCTTTACTGAAGCCAAGGATATCATAACCCAACAACGATATAGACGGACATTAGACGAGAAACAGACCAATATTGCAGCAACGGCACAGGTCATTGCACAGATAACCATCAGTTGTAAGAAACATCCTAATAAAGAATTAAAATATTACTGTGAAGATGACGATACTGTTATATGTGGCAAGTGTATAGCAACACAACATGGCGGACATCGTGTTTCATCAGTTGAGCAGCTTGCAAATAGCAAAAGAGTTAAAATAAAAGCTGCTCTTGCGGAAACCACGAAAACAATGAACATCTTTAAAAAGGCAGTTGCCATAGAAACAGCCAGTGAAACAGAGGACTCTCGTATCAGGGAAGTCATTATCAATGAAATTGAAAACCAGGCCCAGCAAACTATTCTTCAGATTATTGAAAGAAAGGAGAAACTGATATCAAAAGTAAATTCTGAACACAGTCTCAATAAAAACAAAGAGATCATTGAACTCCACTATGCCTCCTTGCACAGCGCGTGTGACTTTGCACAGGAACTGGTTACATATGGCACTGACTCTGATATCATGGCTCATGCAAAATCTCTGATAGAAAGACTATCAGAGATAAAGAAAACACCTTTCCCAACTCCAGACCAACCAACAGAGATATTTTACAGTCCAGGTAAGATATCTTCAGCAGGACTGGAAGCCATGTTAGGACAGGTGACAATACAGTCACAACCTCCATTAGCAGAACAGGGAACAAATCCAAGATTAGCACCACTCCATCCTGTTTTCTTAGAGAAGGCAGAATGTGTGCACTGTTTTAGTCCTCCATTCAAGGGCGATACAGATGAAAATTTTAAAGTAACAGGATTAGCTATATTAAATGAAGAACATATGTTTATTATGAATAATAAAGGCACATCAAAACAGTTCACACATACTGGAGAGTTTAAACGTAACATTGATGTACAGAGGCCCTTTGATGTGACTGTGTCACATAATGGCTACCTGTATATAACATCATCACGCTCTCATGTCTCAGTGTGGGACGTCAGAGGTTGGGTTATAGGTAGCATGGATAGTGATAAAACTGCTACACTACTTGGTATTACACTAAACAGACAAGGTCATGTGATGGTTTATGACAGCTGTGAGAAATCCATCTTGACATTCCATCCAGACAGTAAAAAGCTCCTGAACACTATTCTACTTAGTATCAGTGGAAACCCACAGTACATCACAGTGAACAAGGTGAATCATACCATTGTCCTATCAGACTCAGACAATCACTGTGTATATGTGCTGTCACCTACTGGTGATCAGCTGTCCCAGTATGGCACACCAGGAACACCAGGCAGTGGTGATGGTCAGTTGTGTGAACCACAGGGAGTGTGCACAGACAACTATGGTCACGTCTTCATTGCTGACATGGGTAACCACAGGGTAGTGATACTGAGTTCATACGGAGAGTTACTCAATTACATAAACGTGTTAATGTATCCCGTAGCACTAGCCATCAACCCTGCTGGCCAGCTGGTGGTGGCAACAAGACGTGGCAGAGTTAACACATACAATTACTTACTAGTAAGAAATAACACCTCGTCATACTGTACACTGATGTAAAAATCACAATACTAGTGTTCGTACCACTGATAATGTGGATATTGATTAATGTGATTCTGATAGTTATCTCAGAGTACTCCAAACTTTATGTAATATAGAGAGATATGCAGTATATTGGTTTCCTCATGTTGTAAATGATAAAATTCAAACATATAGTAATAAAGATAAGTATACAGACATGGGCCTAAAAAAAAAAAAATGGGATCCAACACCTTGCCTGCCAGACTTCTGTGTTTCAGCGGAAAAAGCTCATGTCTGTATATAAGTAGTACATGTGAATTGGTACCTTCATTGGTCTTTTCAGTGCCTCTTGTATATCCAGCCTCTTTCTCATGATGGTGGAGTCCAACTTTCGCTCAAACGCCAACAGGTCCATGTATGCTTGGGACTCTGGGACAAGATCCCGTACACGCTGGGACAGGATCTTGTCTGCCATCTTCTTCTTCTTTTTACTTCAGGAAAATAAATAAATAAACATTTAGTATTTAATTCAAACCGTTATTGGAATTTTAACTCCAAACTCACTATTGGTCGCTGTCTTTGACCATTTTTTCTGTCACAGCTCAACAGTTTAAATAAAAAGACTCTTAACTGGTATCATCCAAAGTTTACAGACCTGGTACCATAATACCTTGACCAGCTTAAGAAGTTGAACTCGACTGTGTTCAAACAAAGTTTTCACTTGCCATCCAACATCTTACACTGAATTTACTAGATCACTAATCATATCAACAACGCTGGCTTTAAAAACTTACTTTTTGCTCATCTGTATTGTCCGCGAGTCCTGCTGCAGCTGGCGCCTCCTATCAATGGCCGCCTGCATGGCTGGCGTCATCCCAGAACGGTGCATGGCTGTGAACAGAAACGGACACATAAGGTCACATCAAACACAATAAAAAATTGGAATTATTTCATTTCTGGTACAGTGTAAAATACATGCACAGATATTTCCTAACTGGTGTCCTTAATTAACAAATTATCCAACACTTCCTCATTCCGTATCTTGGTGTACCATTTACAGTAATAACTTATCCATCTGTTTGGTGCTCTTATCTATATTCCCATATTTCAAGGAAGTGCTAATGAAACATTTATATTAAAATGAATTAAAAAATAAACAATGTCTTGCAGAGATTCCAATAAACAGTTAACTTCATTAGATTTTATGTAGAAATTCTGAGAGAATTTGATACGAATATTTTATACGAAAATTGTCTTTGGAAATGAAGTTGTCTTTTAAAGGGATATATAATAACTCTTCGTTTTGGTCAAAAAATGAATTTTCCTGGAGTAAACAACAATTTTCCCATACTTACCAATGGTTAATGAATACATTTTTACATTCAAACTTAGTCCCTGGTTTTTTTCTAAAAAGTTTGTTTTTGTGTTATAATCTCTTAAGAGATTATAACAAAGTATTTCCATCAATGGAGGTCACGTGATCTGAAGACAAGCTCAGATATCAGAATAATAGCTATAACTGCCGTATTTGTGGTATATCATATTTCTAGGAGTTGTTTACAATTGTTTTTATTGTGAAATATAGATCTCATACGAAGAGTTATTATCCCTTTAAGTAATTATAGATATCAAAATTGTTGGATTCTTTTTCTGGTGCAGTATCCTACAATTTACAGACTTCTGTAAGCAGATGAGTGTTCCAGTAACGGAAACTGCGGGTGATTTTTCAGTAATGTCCCTAACACAAATGCCTGACCTACACTAACTATATCCTTTCACTATAGAATATACCAGATAAGAGTTCTGTGAGTATCACATTTAAAAGCTTTGACGCATCAAGTGTTCCATCGCAGCATTCCATCTTTTGAACTCGTGTTCTCACAAATGTGTTTCTTTCTGTTTGAATGTGCCGTCTAATGCTGTAGGAATATGGACAAGAAATGGTGGAGAATGAATGGTATTTGTTGGTCGAAATTGGAGAAATTAGAGCTATCATTTATTGGCCATGTACAGGGGTGGATTGAGGCCATCTTCTGGGTCTTCTGGAAGATGGTCAAATTTTCAAGTTTACATTGACGGGTATCTAATTTTTTCCATCAGACGATGGTCAAAATTGGAGGAGATCAACAGAGATCATTTGGAAGACTGTCAGAAAATATCTCAAGAAAACCACCGAAACAGATCTTCCACCCTTCACATCAGGGGAGGTGGGTGGGGGGGGGGGGGGAGATCTGTTTCGGTGGTTTTCTTGGCCAAGCTAAGCTGTCAATCTCTCAAAACCATGTTACAGATCACAGAATGCTGAGATGCAAGACTCGATGTGAAAATATTACAGGCTTCATGGATCTGTTCATTCTCATGCTCACACTAGAACTGAACTTCTAAGCTAATGGGGAGCAAAAAAATAACATTTGCTTATTAAATTTCGACACGGAATTTTAATACATTTCACATGCTGCTGAAATCTATGGGTGAAGGTATACAGATCATATTTCTTATCAAACACAACAAGGGCAAATGTGTCCAACTGTCTCAAAATACACTTGACCGTAAAAGATAGGAAACATGGTTATTTTGAATAATTATAAAATAACCATATGAGCTAAGGTAAACATTTTAACCAAATATTGATGGATATAACACATCCACCATTCATTGTTATTTTATATGTACACTGAAGATTTTCCCACTACATTACAACCTTATAAAACAATTCTGTGTTTCCTTACTATTTTGGTCGAGTATACAAGAATTACCAGGAAAACCTGACTCTGGTCTGTCAAGCATAGGGAAGGGTTTGGAATAACATCTGGACATTTATTGTGAACCAAACTTAGTCCACAGCCATTCACTGTTTTCTTTTTTCTTTTTTTTTTTACAAATTCAGTAAATTCCATAAGAAAGATCTTAACGAAAATACTGCAAAAACTGCATTCTCCTTTAAAAAAAAAACGGAAAACAAGCTTACTCTAACATAAACACAAAGACATGCACATACTCCAGATACACGATCTGCTGCTTAAAAATCAACTGAACATGATAGCTCTGTGAGAAAAAACAGAAGAAGGGAAGGGGGAGAGGGGTCCAATGTTCATGTCTGGATATACAACTCTTAACTACGTCTGAACTAATCTGAACATCTTATCATTCAGTCACTCTAAAAGACCATTCCCAGACCCTATCATCCTAACCGATCTATCTCCCAAGGGGATTCTTGCTAAATTGCAATCAACATAAGCAGCTTAGACATCTACTGAAGTTATAAGGGGATAATTAATTATAGTTTAGGCAGCTTCAGTTGGCATGCTGAAAGCAATTTAGCGAGAAACCCCTTGGAGATGGATCGATGCTGTTAGATTGATCTAGGTATGGGAACCCAGCCTAAGCACCACAAAGCTCTGTCAATGGGACAAAACAGTGAAACCAAGCATAGCTAATATTTGACACATTCTTCTTCAACTGAAAGGGCATGTCAGAAAATGTTTGCTTAAACTGAAAATGTTCTCAATCCATAGAACCATCAGAACTAAAACAATGCACAATCAGAGCATATCCTATTACTTACTGGAGTCTTTGGGCTCTTTCGATTCTGTGAAATATTTTCAATATTTGATACAAATTAAACATATGCATTCAAATACAGTACTTAAATACCCTTAAAGTAATGGCACAGTCAACAATCAAGTATTTCAATGAGCAAAACACATGTTGAAAAATGTCTTAATTTTTTTCCGATTATCACACATACATACTAGTATTGTATATTGGGTCATTTCTTTTCAAAGAGAAGATTTAAGAATTTAAAAACATATTATGTTACAGTATATTGTTAAAGTTAACACTAGAGAACAAATGATGCACTAACATGACAAACAACAGTAAAATAGGAGCTAGCCCAGTAAGATTTTGTAAATGAGCCACAAGTCACTGTTCCTACTTTTAGTTATCAGCAAAATTTTCACACTAAGGTGGCTAATTATATTTTAAAGCACCGAATGTAGTACTGAATAATAACTTTAAAATGGCAAATTGGCTGTTATCAATATGAAGCATAGTTACCCAAAGCCAATAATATTCATGATTGTATCTAAATTACAACATCCAAAGCAGCAAATTTCTTTAAATTTATAGGGACACCCCCCCCCCCCCGAAAAAAAAAATTAAATTGAAAAAAAGAAATAAATAAAAAAGAAAACTATTTTTTCATGCAGATCTTCCACCTACTTTGCTCTTTGGATCTGGAGGCTAAAAAAATACACAACATCAAGCTGTCAATAAACTTCACATATTCTCCAAGTAAATAGAAACTTTCAAAATATAGAAAAAAATTAAATAATGCCTAAATATTATTTGAACTGGCACAAAATGTGATGGATTGTAAACATGATTTTCATCACAATGATTTTGTTTTCAACATGATGTACTAGTATATGTCTGTTTAGCCAGTGTTTGTGTACGGGAGTAATAGTGGGCCGGGAGTGGGGGGGTGGGATGGGGGGTTGCAAGCTGTTATGAGAGACGTTCACAGTTGATATTAAACTAATAGTCTAATCATGTTTATCAAACACTGTTTCATTGCATACATTTTAAGAAAGTGAACAAAAGACTCCCCCTTTCATCTCTTAACATTGGGAAATTCTCACTGGTGAAAACTACTGCTGAATGTTAATTAACATGGCTGATTGTTAGTTACTATGACAAGACTGAAACGTAAGGCGCATTTACAGTTGAGATGACACAGTAACTTGGTATGCACTATCCCATCTGACAGTTATGATCAGTTCACCAGTGGGAACCAACCCAATCTCCCTGTTGTCCCGCACACAGCTTTCTTGTCAATTTCACAATTAAACAGACCAGCCACGGCCATACGAGACCCAATAAAATCTCAGGGAAAAATAATTGCAATAAACCATGGGAGGGGATGGTGTTAGGTGGGACAAAAGAGAGACTGGATAGACCCCATGGTGATCTAATCATAATAATGTCTGCAGAAAGAGCAAGCACCAAGTTGAGCCGTAACAATTATAATGAAAATGCGCCTTCAGTTAATATGATAGGACTGGATATTAGTAGTAAAAACATCATTCCATAGACACAATACTCACTTTCTTTCGACTTGCCACCTGCTTCAAAGTTAAGACAGAGATAAAATTAACCATTTTAATGTTAGATAAACCCAGGCAATCTACTTAACACCTTGAGACACTAATAACTTAGACAATCCACTAAACATTTCAATGAAGAACTAAGCAGTTGACTTTATTAGTTAAATAAAAATAATGTTAACCTTAGTTTTGTTAAAATATCTGGGTCAAACACTGACAATGTTCAACACCTTGAGTTGAAGGCTTCAGCAACGTGTTATAATTATACTAAATTTATTAAGTTATTAAAATTAAATTGCACCAGTCTGACAATTAAATATAGAAGATATGAAGACAAGAAAACATTATTATGTAATATAAGAAAACAGACTAGGACAAATACATATCCTAGGACAATAAACACAGAAAGTAGCTGGAGCACAAGGAAAGCTATAATTATCTCTCTAATCATATCTACATAAATATTACTATTATTAGTTATTAATATCAATGTGATGTTTAGGGACATGCTTTTCAAAAACTAAACAGCATAACAGTAAACCACAGTTAAATAAAAACATGGTGGTCATGAAAGGAAGACAAATCTGACATGCGTAGCCTAGGTCTTTTCTGTATTTCAGTGACAAATAAATATATTTCTTTCTGTTAGTTATGCCTTGCATCAAGTGTATTGATAAAACACGGACATAATTTTTTTTCTATAAATCAGTAGTAAAATACAGTTTTGGGAAGGTGTGCCTTGGCAATTAAAAGACAACTTAAAATTAAAGGCAATTTTTCTAGGTGAGGCTCTCAAACCGCAATAAGAATAACTTGGATGGGTATTTTGACTTATTGATTTAAAAGGCTAAAATGAAGATAATATAGTTCCCAAGTCAAAATATAATTTAGTAGACTAAATGAAGATTCAGTCATGCTTCACTGCTAGGCAATGTTCTTATACAGATACTAAATCACAGACATTCTTTGCCCTAGCATACATCCAAACAATGCAAGCATTTAAGACAAACAAACATCACTGATGCAGCACAAATTTAAGAACTTTAAGGAAGATCGAGCAAATGTCATGAAACAGTTATTTCACTGTTTTTGTATGTACTGATAGTTAAAAAATAAAATCTTTTTTGAAGAGACCAAACAATCATGTTTGTTTCTTAATATGATGAAGGAGCTTACAATGACTACTCTGTTATGGTTATAGTAATGGCTCGATCTTTTCAATGGGCGAAAAATTATCAATCTTTCAGATACATAATTTTATGATCATAACAATGTTTTTTTTATTACTGTGTGCAGTGTTAGAAATTAAGGCTGGACCGTCTGCCCGGGGCTGACAACTTTCAGAACGGGCTGAGAAGTTTTCCCACCCGGCACACATTCAGCCCAGCTACTTTTCAAGATGGCTGGACTTTCGGTCCAGCAACTTATTTTCCTAAGAGGCAAACGCTGTCTGTGTGGCATTTGTGTTGCTTTTACTACACAGAATAGAACTATAAGGTGGCCTGCTTTTAAAATTTGTTGTTGCCACTCAATAGGGATGCTGCTATTTTAAGAAAAAATGCCGTAATAAATACAGTGTCTGTGAAATTCAAAATTTTCCTTCATTGAAAAGATCCAAGTAATTGCTATATGAACACATTCAGAACAGCGAACAAACAAACCAGCAGATCAAATATGGCAACCCATGAAAAGCTTGCCATGTATTAAATTAATCTCTTAAGAAACAATTCACTTTTGTTACCTACAAGCAAACATTTTCATAGCTGTTAAACGACTATAGCTGCCATTCTACGTAAACTTGCATATCACATTGATTTTCTAGTCTATTTTATAAATCAGCTTTACAGTGTACTTATATATATTCTCTATCACATTTCTAGTCACACTTCACATATAAAATCTATTTTCTATATTAGTTTATTATAATTGGCATATCACATTCTTAGACTATTTTCACGTCATACTTCAAATCTAGTCTATTTTCTACATAAATTAGCATATCACATTTCTAATCTATTTACATGCATTGTTAATGTACAAATCCCCCCCCCCCCCCCCCATAAAAACTTCATTTATGAGAAAAAATTCTCTCATACGTGCTCCACGTGCACCATAAAAATCCGGATGCATATTACTAAAACACTGTGGACAAAGCAAGAGAAATCACAGTTTTTTAATTCAATTTTTCATTGTTCTTGTTCACTTTTTGACATCGTCACATGAAGCCAATTTTCATCAATTACAAAATGTTTTGGGGAAAATTCATGCTGTTTGAATGCAGCAGTCACAACTTTGAACTTAGACACAATATTACCTAAGATGCAATATTCAAAATACCTGTTCTTTTGTCAGTAACATCAACAACTGAGACAACAAGACTTATGTAGATAAATGCACTAAAATGTAGCAATGTATTAGAAACAGTGAAAGCACACTGACTAATCACATGCATACGGTATGGAAAATATCTACGAACTTGCAGTAGAAGTTGACTTACAAGACTCCTGTTTAGACTTGGGACCAGCTAGAGAAAGATTGGACAGAAAGTAGAAGTACAAGAAAGGGAAGAAAACAGAGTCTTTGAACACAATTCAGAACAGATGATCCGCGGAGCAACTAATCCGCAGACATATACGGCCGATCCAACTTAAAAGCATTGCTGCTTAATCCCCTGATGGTCTCCCCGCCTCCACAAGCACCATTAAATGGATTAAATCTCAGCTCTGAGGTTTAATTTGAAGGTCCCTGCAGCAACGGCTCATGGGCATTTGGGGAGGCCATCATGGAATTAGTCGGCACTGCTTCTAGTAAGTTGGCCATGTTAAGTCCGCGGATCTGTTAGTTCACAGATCAACTTGTTCTAAATGCTCTCTTGGACAGTAAGTATATAGTAAGAATTACATACATATATATATATATATATATATATATATATATATATATATATATATGTAAAGCACTGTGCATTCCAAACAGTTTTCACGTTCTATATCGATGTTACATACAGTCACTGAAATTCACATTGCAATATGAAGTGACCATTCCATTTATTCTCTGAGGCACAAAATCTTGAACAGCAAAAAACAACAGTTTACTCCAACCTTGGTATGAATCTCTTTTCAAACTATTTCTACATACTAGCTAGGTAAATTTCAATTATATCAAAATTGCAAATTTAAACAGAATGACTGACTGACATTCTTTTAAAGCATGCTCAGTGAAAGTTGTGTGTTTGTGAATGGATGCAAATCACTGGTAGATCCAGATCCTTTAAGGGGGGGGGAGTGCGGAGGGGTGTTAAAAGGGGACAGGGTTCACTTCAGTTACGAGTCTCTTCAGGTCAAATAGATGGTTATATCAATAATCAAAATATGGAAAATTGAAATGTATACAATAAATAAATAAATAAATAAATAAATAAATAAATAAATAAATAAATAACATTCTCCTGGAAGATGTACGACAGTCAGGGGGAAGGGGGGGGGTTACTTAACACTCAGCTTTAGCAGTTGCTGATTGGAAAACAATTTGATGAGCAGTCAAAACAGAGCATGGGTGTGTGTGTGTGGTGGGGGGTGGGGGGGGGAGGGAGGGAAGCATGTTGCCCTTGGACTTTCCAGTGTTCATAGTAACCATGTTACTATACTGATTGCACTATAAATATATCATCATATCTATTGTTATTAGTAGTATTATTATTATGATATAAACAGAAAAGTGTACAAAACTACAAAGTAGTTAAGTTCATGTCAGATGTACATAAGGTAAGGTAAATGACAAGACAAAGGCTACAATACTTCTGTCGATATTGGAAATAAAAAGAAATATCCCCATTGTTTCACTCCTACTATGATACCAGTATTATAAGACTAGATACTGTTATATAACCCTATGGGCTCAACCCCAATGAAACTATCTGTCAAGGTAGATACTAGGCATGTCTTTCAGTTGAGCCGAAAACATTCAGCAAGAGTCCCCGCAGATTTGGGTTGATCTACGTAGACTGACAGAGTCATTGGAAATGAGCCCTACAACATAACAGTATCCCACTGACACTGGATAGGAATGACAACTGGGAATATTTCTCTGATAAAGTGGATAAATTTAAAGGGATACATGTATATGTAGGAAGCTACTGATGAACTATATGTCATGCAGGTCTGCACAATCACGTGCTACTGTTACTTACTGTCCTTGGACTTGGAGGCTACAGGAGGCAGATAGACAGAAGAATGGATGAATGAATGATACAATATTCTTGACTTAATTTCTAAACTTCATTCTTTTTTCATTATTTGACTGATGTTTAGGCATAGGCAAAGCCAAGAAAGATGCAGAAATGAACTTTCAAAGATATAACGTAACTGCTGTGACCTTAATATAAAAGCTGTTATTATACTTCATGTCAAAATCATAACTAGCACATTCACACTAATAAATTGTCTATATCAGTATGTATCAATACTATATATATATAGATATATCTGCTTAAGGTACCTTGAAAACCAAACATTTACCATTTAAGATGTATAGAAAAGCACATGACCCATTCACCAATTTTCAAATACATCACTCAGCTAAAACAATTTCAGTGTGAGGTGGAGAAGATCATGTATTCTTTGAAATCAAAATCATTATCACAAAGTGCAAAATTGTTCTCCCAGACAAGAGACTTCAAAATTGTACTGTCTCCCCCTCCCATCCACCCATGATAAGCTTGAGACCAGGATGCAAGTATTGAAATACATAAATAAATATCAGAGGAAGGTGATACTCAACAATAGCCATTAATGTGTTCGAAGGATCAACATAGTCAGAGATAAACATATATTTAAGTAGTTACAAGCCACAGAGACAGGTCTGTGCTTTAACCTTACAAAATGTGTAAATCAGCCAATTACCACTTCTTTCTTTTAATAAATACAAATTATATTTTTAGTCATGGGCTAATAACTTTTTAATTAAGGCCAGTCTTATTTACTTCACTTCTCAGTCTAATCATGTGTATAGTAATTACTTTTAAACATGTATTTTATATTATGTATCTTTAGTGGTCGAATAAACCCTTACGAAAAGGTCCTATAGGATCTTATAGGACTTTTTCATTGGGGAACCTTTTTTGATTATACATGAATACCCAGACACACAGCAACGTAAAAATACTCACTTGAGCCCTTAGTACTGGGGCTGCCACTTCCTGGGAATGATGGCGCAGAAGAAAAAAGGCCTTCATTAAAATCTTTATCACAACAAAGTTATACTAGAAACATGTGTATTAGTTGCTACGACAACAGACAGGACATAAATGCATTAACTTTGAGAAAAGTGTGTTGAACTTTGATACTGGAAGAGAAAGATAGTGTTCTCCCTGCATACATAGACAGTGTTAGTCAAGACTAGTTAGTGACAATACAATGTTATTATTTTCTCGTGCTACATGTAAGACCCATGCCATCATGCAAAGTTTAAGGACATGTCCAATTTTAAGATGAAACTATCCAAAATCATGGTGTTTCTGTTTGGGGTTAATTAATCTTTAACTTTTTAAAAGCAGATGACAAGAATTGTTTCCATGTATGTACTAGTATACATACCAAGTATAAAGTCAAGCTTCCCAAAAATACCTTTTAAACAGAACATGTATATAACGTGACAAGACTATGATTCCAAATTTTAATGTTATCGTGCACCATAAATGTCAATCAACAGAGGGCGCCATATGTGGTGGTGAAACACAATCACAACCCGTATAACATGCAAACTACCTGGTGACTTTTTTCCTTTTTTTTTCACCTTCTAATTCATCTTTATGTGAAGTTAGGCATAATGCTAAATCAGGGCCAGAATTTTTGTCTCTGTGAAAATGAACTTTGATTTTAGAAAAAAAAAATCTAGAGCATATTTTCCCTAAACACTTGATACAAATAGGTTCATTAATGAATCCAAGAAGGATCAAATGCACCTAGATGTCCAAGTTGCAGTGGTCTTCTGGAACTAGGTACACAGCCTAACAATCCTCACACATATAACATATATAACAGATATATACACATTCACATAACCTAGGATCCCTAAATATTTATTTCAAACAGAAGAAAGTTCTGTAAACAAACAAACAAACAAAGAGAAAGATACCCACACATAATGAAGGATATAAATAATAATATAATGCAAACAGCTAGCTATGTGGATATGATGAATCACTAAAATAACAAGAGACAAGAGACACATGTACCACATGCAGACTATATGATATTAATATTTGCATGCTATAATATATCTATTTATATTGATATACACTAGATTAATATTTCATGTGACATGTCTATTGTTTTAACAGAAGTGTTTTAAATTCTTTATAATGAACTACATCAACTCACTCAAAATTAAATGAAAATGACATGGTATGCACAATATTATATAATATGAAGATTCAAGTTTGTAGTGCTTTAGACTTGAACCCATGTAAAACAGCAATCTCAGAGTTTATGTCAAGTACCAAAATATCACAATTTTATACAATAAAATATATATACCATCATTACAATCATTCACTATATCAAGAAGTGTTAATTTCAAAACACAAACAAAATATCATAATTCTATTCAATATATATCTCAAGTATATACTAGTACTGTTATTTATTAAATCAAGAAGCATTAACTTCAAACCACTAACTGTACAAGTACAAAATATTACAATTTTTATGTAATTCATTTATCTCAAGTATGAACCATTATTTACTATTATTCACTGTATTAAGAAGTATTAATTCCAAACCCCTCCCTACCCCAGGTGTTACATTACCTGTATAGGGGTGAGGTACTCCACTGGGGGTATGATGTGACGAGGGCATCATGTGCATTCTCCCTGGGGTCCCTGGCATCTGACCCATGGGGGTCCCCCCTGGGCCTGGACTGGGGTATCCTGGGCGCATGGAGCCTCCCTGCTGCAAGGAGAAAGAGAGAGGGGGGTGAAGATTATTATCATAGCCAGTTGCACTCTCAAGTTTATTCCTTAGCAATTCATTTCTTTTTCTCTGTTTTTTTTTTTCAAAATACTTCAGGATCTACTTTTAAGTAAAATTTACTGTAATAATTAAATACCAGCATAAATCTACTCTTGGAAGTAACTTAAATGATGCCATCGGTTTTTGATTTATCAGTTTATACCCAATGCATTACAAAGTGAACACCTTCAAATCCTCAACATCAGGTTAGATTGCCCTCAAAAGGCTCTGGGTTTATTCAGAAAGTGAATCATGAATGTGTTATCATATCTCTAGAAAGGGAAATGTATGAAGAATCTATTATTATGAAACCAAAAAAGTAATAACTAACTGCTGAAAGACATGCCACTGTGAGACACGCACCGCAAGCTGACGCTAAATTTCTCTAATAATACAAAGCGAAGGGACAGAGCTTCATTCCTCACTGTGACAAAGAAATACATTGACCTAGATTTATCTAGTCAATTATCATCCATATTTCAACCCACATGAACCATTCTCTACTTTGGTATACTTATCCTGGCTACTTACTGGGTAAGCCTGAGGATGAAATGGTCTCATCGGTGGTCCCTGCGGGTTAAACCTTGGCTGTGGAGGCTGCATGGGGCTCTGAAAGCCGGGTCTGGCCGCCATCTTTGTTGTCGGTGTAGCGGGGGAATTTCACTCGTGACGTCATATAACGGAAGTTAACTTCTCAAATGCGGTTTATTTTATAAATGCCGTCTTTAAAGTTATCAGTAATTAACATGGAAGAAAGCACATACAGGAACATTTGTTTTGCACTAAAATATATGTCAGAATGGGGAAAACAGATTTAAAATTATGTCGCAAAATGGGAAAAAGGTAAGCCGCCATCATCTCGCGAGATGTGGCAAGGTGTTCGAGATTTCTGCCCGGTGAAGCCAGTGCAATGCAGAAATATGAAAAATTAGAGAAAATAGGCGAAGGTAACGTCTCCATTCGATCTATATGACACACACGTGTATCTTATCCCTGCATAATAACACGGACAATCCATCTAAATTGCCTGATGTCCGAAATGTGGTTTCGCTTTCAAGTGAACCACCAGTTTCGTTCGTCAACAACTTGCTGTCACTGTCATTGACAGTGTCATTCAAGACAGAAGACAAACGGTCACCCTGCAATGTCAGTGTTCAAGTGTCAATTGTCTCTGTGTCCATATCTGTGTTTGATATTCTCATATATTTGCATATCAGATGGTGTGGCATTGTAAAAGCTATTATTAGAAGTATCAATCAATTCCTGATGATGCAATAAATGCCTTTTATTGTCAGCATTTCAATTTGCATAATTAATTAAAACATAACTTATATTTAGATGTTTACTAGTATTCACTTCGTGGATACACATTTGCGTTCAGATGTGAGCATTGCAGAGTGTGCAATGTATATTCTGAATTATAATGATTGCTAAGTTATATAGATTTATTATTATTATTATTATTATTATTATTATTATTATTATTATACTCTGTACAGGTACATATGGCACAGTGTTCAAGGCAAAGAACAGGGAGACCTGTGAGATAGTAGCTCTGAAGAGAGTCAGACTAGATGATGATGATGAGGTAATATATATGACAAAATTATACATTGATTATAGGCCTTGGGGGGGGGGGGGGGTAGATGGGCATGTAACAGGATGTAAGGATCTGTGTCACAAAAGAACTAAACCTGGATTCCTGGAAGCTAAAAATACTTCTGTGTAAACATAAAACATCTAGTTACTAAGCTTCTAATATTAAATTTTAAATATTGTATTAATTTTTCTGTTCCAGGGTGTACCTAGTTCAGCATTACGTGAGATTTGTTTACTAAAGGAGCTGAAACACAAAAACATTGTGAGGTAAACAGGGGGAAAATTGAGGAAAATAAAAACAAAAAAATAATTAGTTTGAATATGTAACTGAAAAGTCCAAAATGCTGCATATAGTTAACTTGACCTCAACTTGAAAGAGAGAGATAGCTAAGATATTGGAAATTATTGTGTAGAATCAAATTTCATATATTGTGTAAAGCTGCTGTAAATGTAAATCTTTAGGGCCTAATGATGTTATGACTGCTTCATCGAAGAACTTTGATGACATGAATGATTCCTACTTGCACTTTACAGATCCAAAACTTCATGCTGTAAAGGTAAAAACATCTCTTTAGAAAAAAAAAAATCTTTTACAAGGGGCAATCAAACAACATTTTTTGTTAGTGTTGAACATTTAACATTTCTTTTTGTCCAGACTTCATGATGTTCTTCACAGTGAGAAAAAGCTGACTCTAGTCTTTGAGTATTGTGATCAAGATCTGAAGAAATACTTTGACAGTTGCAATGGAGATATTGACCCTGATGTTGTCAAGGTAACTGTGTAGTAGCCGTGGTAACTCTGGTTGCCATGGCATTATTTTCTTAAATTAATAATAATTATTAAGTAAAAAGTAAGAGAATTTTTTTTTTTGATTGATTTTTATTGTTAAAGTGTTAAAATATTGATTTTCACAAAGTTTTAAGTATAGAAATTATATAACAGATTATGGAATTTTACAAATCTTTTTGGGTAACAATAAACATAAAAAAAAAATGCGGAATTATTATAAGTGTGTGTCCAGTTCTAGTACATTTAAAACATTTTGTTGACAAAAGACACCCAAGGAAGTAATGCATTTTATTGTCACAGCTACCACATTTAGGGAGTGCTACGTAGTCCAGTAGTCCAGCTATATGACAAATAAGAGGATCTTCTTAGAAAATAACATGGAAAATTCATTTAAATGGCGGAGGTCATAAAACATATCAAATCACATATTGCACACCAGGCCATTTAGATGAATTTTCACCCCTGTTTGTTTGTCTGTCATCAACATAACTCAAGAAGTTACGGACCGATTTTGATGAAATTTTCAGGAACTGTCAGAAGTGGGCCAAGGAAAAGATGTTTAGTTGTAGGGTGGTGATCTGGATCAATAATTCTATTGGTTTCACCTCACTGGATTATGTCTAACTAGCTGTTGTATTATTTCAGTCCTTCATGTATCAGTTGTTGAGAGGTCTTGCTTTCTGTCACAGTCATAATGTACTACACAGGGACTTGAAGCCACAGAACCTGCTCATTAATAAGGTGAAATATGTGAATTATTTATCTCCGTGGAATGTTTGTCTCTTTATGACTTGTCTTTAACATTTTAAAGATATCTTCCACATCTGAGAAAAAAAATTAATTAAAAAAAGACATTTTTTGACATTTCAAAAACACATTCATAAATAACTTTTACGTTTATTCTTAGTCTACACTCCCATATGCTGTCTATTATGTCTTTTGTCTAGATCAGTTGACTCAATATGTCTTTTCTTTTCTCAGTTTCTGAAATAATATTGAAAAAAAAAGGAAGAGAGAGTGAAAGTCATGAGGTGTTATATTTTCAGAATGGAGAGTTAAAGTTGGCAGATTTTGGTCTGGCCAGAGCATTTGGTATCCCAGTGCGGTGTTACTCTGCAGAGGTGCCGTATAAGAAAAAAATATATATATTTATGCAATTTTTCCTTAATCACTAAGCTAAAAATGTTGAGAAAATAACAATCTAATAAAGTTAACCCTTTTTGAGACCTTGATTGTTAATAGGTTTGTTTTCTTATTAATGCTTAAAAAGTACTCTAATCAGTTGATGAACAATATTATTATTATTATTATTATTATTATTATTTATGGTCTTTGTTCTATTCTCTGTCCAGGTTGTCACTCTATGGTATCGCCCCCCTGATGTCTTGTTTGGTGCTAAACTGTATACAACCTCTATAGATATGTGGTCTGCGGGGTGTATATTTGCAGGTAACAACACACTTTGATATTTTTCTTATTCATGTGACTTTTAATGGACAGACTCAGTGTCTGTATAGACATATTATTGCTGTCATATTTGACATAAATACTTTTTTTTTTTTACTACCAAAAATTTGTAAGTCACCAGGTAAGGAGCTTTACTAGGTTATGAAATGATTGCTGGTATTTTACAGAACTTGCCAACGCTGGCCGTCCGCTGTTTCCAGGAAGTGACGTGGACGACCAACTTAAGAGGATATTCAGGTGACAAGGAGTTACTGATATTTTTAATGTCTTGTCAGATATTTTACCAGCTTATCAGAATATTTTTTTAACAAAAATGTAATTAATTTGATCACCAGACCATGGACTTTCTTCTTCAACGGTTAGAGAACAGTAAAAGAAATAAATACAATTAAGCATTCAAAATAAATATTTCCATGTACAGTTTTCAAAGGTGCTAGACTTTTTAAGTACACGTTCTGAAGTGTTGATAATACTGTGTAGCAGTAGATGTCAAGAACAAACTACCCAGGTGTGGTGGAGCTGCATATGTAGAGGGAACACCATGTTCTCTCTATTCCCGGGGGGGGGGGGGGATTTTGTTGCATACTACCTGTATATTGTTCATTGTACATCTCTGTTGTGTGGTGTACTGTTGATCACAGGTTACTAGGCACACCTGTGTTTTATCTTACCTGTATTGTTTACAGGTTACTAGGCACACCTGTATTTTATCTTACCTGTATTGTTTACAGGTTACTAGGCACACCTGTATTTTATCTTACCTGTATTGTTTACAGGTTACTAGGCACACCTGTATTTTATCTTACCTGTATTGTTTACAGGTTACTAGGCACACCTGTGTTTTATCTTACCTGTATTGTTTACAGGTTACTAGGCACACCTGTGTTTTATCTTACCTGTATTGTTTACAGGTTACTAGGCACACCTGGAGAAGACACCTGGTCAGGGATGACATCTTTACCAGACTACAAGGTAGGACACAGTGCTATCATAATGGTAATATGTATAGTAAATTGCTTGTTGATTAATTAATTAAATTGATATCTTGTTGAATATTTTCTTATATCCAATCTATATTCCCTGTTCCCGTTAGCTAGAATGAAATTAATGTATTAATATGGAAAAAAAGCATTTTAATATGTCTGCTTATATTGTTTTATTAATTGATTAATTTCATACTAATAATATTTATGTTTTGCTCCAAGCCATATCCCCCATTCCACGTGACTACCAACTGGCAACATGTGGTACCTAAACTAAGTACCAAGGGAAGAGATCTACTACAGGTGAATAATTTATATATGTACACACACACACACACACACACACACACACACACAGAAAGAGAGAAACAATATATGCTGTATGAGCTGCACTGTAGCTCAGAACTAATATATTCACTGCCAAACTAGGTCCTTTATTAACTCTATGATATAACCCTCGGTGTGAACAGGCCTCATACCCCACACTAAGCACAGCCCTCCTCCACCCCCCACCCCCCAAAAAAACACACACACACACACACACACAAACACAGACACACAACAACATCATCAACCCCACCTATACATACCACCACCACCTACAGTCATGTATTCACATATAAATCAGCTATCATCAGCAATCTCCATCTCTATCTTATTAACAATAGGATACCTCACTAGGTGTAATTACATGTCCTCCACCTGGCCTGCAGCTCTATTATATTATAACATGCACTCCAGGTGAGGCTGATTACATCAAGTCTTCACATAGCATGTGCAGGGATTTAACAGGGGTATTGTACAGGATAAAGACATGTTTCTAAATCTTTTAAAACCCCCAAGATACAATGGACAAGGTTTTTCAGATTTATGGTATATTATGATATACTATTACATATAGTATATACACTCAGTGTGATTAACAGGGGTAATGCAGATCTTAATAGTAAGTTTCTAAATCCTTTAATACCCTAAGATACAATGGGCAGGGGTTCCAAGACTATGGTATAAGATACTCTATTACATATGCACACAGTGTGATATATGATACATGCTGAGTATGGACAGACTGGATTAAGGGCCCATTCCCAATGGGACTATAATCCTACTTAGATCTTTCCAACTCTGCAGGTCCTCTCACTGAATACAACCAGATCAACAAATTATCACAGGGGCAAATTTAGGCCGCCTTCTGGGTCTTCCAGAAGACGGTCAGATTTTCAAGTTAACATTGATGAGTATCTAATTATTTTATTTTTGTTGGAAGATGGTCAAAAATGGAGGACGGGTCAACAAGTAAATTTGGAAGTCTGTCAAAAAATATCTCTGGATCCACCCCTGTTATCACACTTGCTCCCTTGCATTTAATAGAATACATAAGAGCTGGTGATTATATTTTATTTTGGAAAGGAGGTGTGTAATGTCATTGGAAATGAGCCCTTAAACTTATATCAGCAATGTGAAAGAAGTACTGAGAATAATGCCACAGTAGCTGCTGCTGTAACAACAAGTGAACTGTAGTCAACCACTGCACTGGCATCTACATTGATATATATTCAGTGAATTATTATTAAGGGTCTCAGATTCATAATCAGATTAGATGAGATCAGAGAGGGGTGGACTCCCATTATGCAAACCCCCTAATTCTTCTACATATAGATCTCTCATTTAGTAGAATGGAGACTCCATATTCTTTGTGGCATCATTAAGAGGCAGACGTCATTGTTCATGTTCTTAAAAAAGTGCATTAGTCTGGTAGATATACATGGATTGTTGAATTAATAATTCCATAGATGATATGGAAGTAGTTATATACAAAAAAACTGTCCCTGAATTATATACATATTCGACAATCCATGTCATTATTCATATCCTGGCGTAATCCTATACATCTCCTGTCAGCAGAAGAGGTGACAGTTGTGTTGGATAATAGATGTGCCACATCCATTGTATTACACCGTCACAGTCCTACAGTAGTAACAGGGGAGGAGTTGGGGAAAGAAAGCATTTTAATTTGTCCATTATATGACACTGTCACAGTACCTGTAACAGAGGAGGACTTGGGGGGGAAAGAAAATATTAACTTGTGTCCACTATGGATTAAGACAGGAAGTGGGGTCAGTGTGACACCCGCCCAGTGGTCAGTTCTTTCAGTGGTCAGTTCTCTACTGGTCAGTGTTGGAGTCTCGCAGATGTCTTCATAGCTGGATGTGTGGTGTTTAGGACAGATGAAGACCCATTGTGCTTTGTGGATGTTTCTGATTTTGATGAATTTTGATTAGATGTGGAACTGAATTGCCCAGTGTTTTCCTCACATTGTTTGGTCATTTCTCAATGGTTATATGAAGTGTGGACTTGAGTACTCAGCATTCAAGGGTTTGGCAAAAGCAGACTATACCATACTACAGGTCTAGGAACTGTGCTAGATTAAGATTGTGCAGAAAATAAACAATTAGAAACTCAAGTTAGTTCTGAATATATTTCCTGCAATTTCTGTTCAGAACTAAAACAGACCAGCCATCAACAATAGTGACAACGCACCAAGATGTCTCATTGGGGGAATAGAGGTCCACTGCCCCAACAACAGTTGCTGAGTGCTGAAGTTGTTGACTTAAGCTACCTAGACAAAGACGACTGCATAGCACTGGACATAAAACTAGCCAAGGTCATCAGAATGGCGGCTTTGCTAGATGAACAGGTGCGCCAGCTGTTAGTGCGGTGGAAACGCGCAAACAAGAACCAGCGTAGGACATCAATGACGGTACTTCGTCATCGCATCCGTATTGTGTCCGCCGTGAGGGAAATGTTTTACCGCTACGCCAGATGGCAATGTGACGTGTTTGAGGCTATGCAGAACCATGTTGGGGTGTGGCTGGATGAATCTGAGGATGAGGAGGAGGATGAACATGAGGAGGAGGAGGCAGAGAAAGAGGAGGAGGAAGCAGAAGATGAGGAGGAGGAGGCAAAGGAAGAGGAGGAAGCAGAGGAGGAGGAGGATGAAGCAAAGGAAGAGGAGGAGGAAGCAAAGGAGGAGGAGGAAGCAAAGGAAGAGGAGGAAGCAGAAGATGAGGAGGAGGAGGAAGCAAAGGAAGAGGAGGAGAAAGCAAAGGAGGATGTTAGAAATAATGGAGAAAAAACAGATAATGAGAATGATTCTAAAGAGGTGTAAAAAGACTTGCCTATAAAAGTTCACTCTAATAGTGGCAACATGAATCCATTGATATGGATAATCTATTTATTATTTATAATGAAGATCAAATTTGTGGTTACAATCCAGATGATGATTTTAAAGAAGAGGAAACAGACCCAGAAAGAGTAAAGCTTAATCTCATTTGGATGAATATGAAGATTATGACAATGCAGACAATTATGAGGAAGATGTAGATAGTTATCATATTAATTTTATAGGATGAAGATTGAGGAGATGAAACACATTTATCAGTGTCATCTGGCACTAAGGAACTTGGCACCAGCTAAAAGCTAGCTGCTATCAGTTGGTTGGAAATAAGTTTGTCTGAACAACTTTTTCATGAGAAAAAAATTATGAAAGATGAAATGGTTTCTTCTCCAATTCCAACTTCTTATTTCAAAAGTGAAGAAAGACAGGAAATAATGGAAGAAAACCAATTTCCCGAAGTCCACATATTGCTGATTTTTCCTTAAGACCAAAGAATGGAAACCAGTCTTTTGGCTTCATATTTTGTGATATTGGATGAATTATATAAAAATCAGCAAATTGGAACACAAAAGCAAAGAACTCAATTTTCTTCGACCTGGTGGATGGAAGGATAGCAACAGAAATTTCCCATCAATTAATTTCCAAAAATGTTTCAAATAATGTTCATTTAAGTATGAGAAATTTGATGTTATTTTTTTAAATGTACATGTGTGCTTATTTATTCTATGTGTGTGTGATATTGTTGATTTAAACTACAATATGATGATATAAAATATAATTTTATTTAATAATCTTTTTTGATGTAGATGTTTGAGCTTTCTTTAAAATCAACTGTGTGTTTGCTGACAGTAATGTTTAATCTTTAAAGTTCACATTTTTTCCTGAGTTTTAAGTTATAAAAAAGTATGAACATATAGTCAAGATTTATTTATTATCATTAACTTTACATATTTCTACATCTAAATCTCTTCATAATGGTGGTAATAGTAGGTGGGGGGGTACTTAGATATTATAATCCTAAACTTTTACATTCTATTTTCAGCGGTTACTGGTCTGCAACCCGTCTGGTAGGATATCCGCAGAGGACGGAATGCAGCACAGTTACTTCGCGGATCTCAACCCAGCCGTGAAGCAAGGATGAGGAACAAAATGGAGATTTATCCACAGAGATCTATCAAAAGCCTTTTTTTTTTTTTTTTTTTTTTACATTGAATGGTATATTTTTTTCTGTATCACACCATTTGGAGATATTGATCGTTAGGGAAGTAAAAGTGTCCCCTATACTGACTCCCTGGGCTGTGCATGGCCACTTAACTGCACGCATCTTTAAACGGATTAAATCACGACTGTGAGGTTTAATTACTAGGATATGGCGTGTGTGGAGGCAGAAGACCACCAGCAGATTAGTCAACTTAGCTTTCTTGTAAGGACTGCCATATTTGATTCGTGGATCAGTAGATCCGAGGATCATCTGTTGTGAATGGCCTCATACATTTGAAAAAGCAGTTAAAAATCCCACTGCATAATGCCGTAATTACTTTTTAGGGCCAGTTAAACTGGCGTGATACAGAAAACTATTGTTCATTGGTAAAATGGCCTGACAGTTGACCATTGTCAGACCAAAACTGACAGTTGTGAGCAAGAAGTGCAAGTTTTCTGTGGCCAGAAACTTTTTTAATTTTTAAAACAAGTTGAGTTATTCTGAGCACAACATTACAACAGAAGAGTCCAGGAGTATTTTTTTTTCCTTGTAAGGTTATATTTGTTTGATATTGTCTTAAAGGTATATTTTGTAATCCTATCAGTGTAACTTGTCATGTAGTTTGTATGCTTAGCTCAGCTAACAGCAGTTCTATGTATTCTGTATCTAACTACAGGAGTGCTGGAAGAATTGCAATTCATGTTTTTTTCATCAGCACAAGCCTTAAAATGAGGACAAATGTACAGATAACAGGAGGAGATTCTCATGCCTTGACGCATGCGTAGCAGGAAGTTAGAAAGTAAATGGCGGTCGCATTTGCTTTGAAAAATGTGTTTGTCGATTTTGTGCAACAACAAGCACTACCATTAACCATATTACGCGTCTGTATGCTTGAGTCGTCACAACTAAACTGATGAACTCCACAGCTAAGAGATACTACTGCCCATGCGTCAAGGTGTCAGAATCTCCTCTGAGCACAGCCGAGAATTAATTACAGCTTTGGAAGTAAGTGGCTCGCGCTGCCCGTGATCACAAAATACCGCAAATAGATTTTTAGAAAATAGATTTTTCACATGAACGCAGCCTACGTCATGATATGAAACAAGCAAGATTTTTCTAAGAAATAAGTCCCAAAACTAAAGATGGAATTTTTTTTTTTTTTTTTTGGGGGGGGGGGGGGGCATTTGATGTACTTTTACTATTATTATATTGTAAAGTAGAAATGTTAACATTGTTGGTATTTTCTATCATAGCCCTTTGCAGTGTGACTGCAAGAAATGTGACTGTTTTTGTTATTGTACGTATTTCTTTATTTTTTATCCAAGAAATTTCTGCTTTGCTTTTTCCCTTTCTTATTTCAAATTAATGTCATGTAAATTAGTGCTGAATATTAATTGGTTGTACAATGTACAATGCAGTAGACTGAGAGAAGAGAGGTGAATGTGTGTATTATTGTAAAATGTCACTTTGTTCTCATCTGAGAAGGTTTTTTTTATTAGACTGTACAGACTAACAGTATATAGTTATTACTCTTAATTCTAGGAGTATGGAAAAAAAATAACCCCACTTCTCCTTTATAGAAATCAAAACTGTTGCATTGTCTAAAAATAACAAATCTTAAAAAGTAAAATATCTGTGTTTTAAGTATTTAAGTAATAGCTGAACTTGTTGCACTTTGTAAAGTACATGTTGTTCAAGAGAAATTGAAGCTCCTCTTTGTACGGATGGGACTCTCTAATGCTAGCCTGAGGTGGGTTGGAGGCGATGTTTTAAATAAAATGTTGTAAACATGAATCTTGTGTTTATAAACAATTTTCAAAATGATTTTTGACGTGTCAGCAAGAATTCAACTTTCGCCCTGTAACTGGTTTTGTAAAATAATTTCTCTCTCTTTACCCAGGCATCACTGTGAGACCTTAAATATGACACATTCCTGTTCTTTAGTTGTATTGGCAACACATGTTCTAAATATTTAGAACTTAAAGGCACCAGCTGTAAGCACGAAACCTTACTTCAAGTGTAATGTAAGCAACTGTTCTATCAACATATAATATTTTCACGCAGCACTAAAATATACTGCAGAAGAGCTTCCTTGTGCAATGTACTATTTATTTCCAAATTTCGTCACTGTGACATAGTTTGCGGAATACGAAAAGATGACACCTCATAACAAGAACATATCCTAGATTCAGGAACATTTTCTTTTTGACACAAACACTTAAACAATCTGTCACTCATGCTAGTCTATTAGACGTATTAAAGATGCATACAAAGTCAATTTTTTGTCACAAAAACCAACCAAATGCCAGCATATCGTTTCAAGTAGTATAACTAAGAGAATTACCAAAAGGCATTGTATAATTTTACCCGAAAATGATGTTTGAACAGATTTTTCTGCTGGCATTCTAAGCTGTATGTCAATGGGGCAGGAAAGTAGGTCACGGAAGTAGGTTAAATTTACAACCATAAATTTAAAGAAAGGAGCAGTCTTAAGGTCTTTTATGGCTGATGGAGTGATCTATTCAGTTTTTCCCTTGACATGTCGAATTTATTTGAGTCATATAAGAATCTAGTAGAAGTGGTTTACATGTGTTACTGGGAATCCACATTCCACCGATGCTCGGTTCGTATGTACCTTTAAGTATAAAGTCAACTATTTGAAGTCATTATTATGTGAACAGTGAATCAGGCATAACTTAGGGTGCATTCCCATAGACTTTAGATCCATCTATCCCCGTGGGGAGTCTCACTAGATTACTGTCATATAATCCGGCTTAAATGTCCGTCCCGCCTACTACAAGCTGTAAGGGGGTAATTAACTTCCATGCGTGGTCAGCTGACTGCAATTTAGCGTGAACCCCCAGGGAGTTAGGTCGATCTAGTAAGATCGATCTATATATCTGGGAATGCCCTCTAATAGTCATGACTAGTGACACGAGATGAACACCTCACATACAGAAATCTGACCAAAAGTAAACATTACTGTTAAGACAACATCTTTTCATAATGATATTTCACATGACATGACATTCTGAACTTTTACTGTTTATCACTTGACTGTTAGAACACTATAAGCTCCAGAGCTTCCCTTAGCAAAATATTAAGTTTGCAGCAAATTTGCAAGAAGCAATTTTACCATGCAAACTAGGTTGGAAATCTTCCTTGCCAACTTCCTGCAAAATTGCAGCAACTTATATTCTTCTTGTGACCATTGGCCAGCTGCAAACAGGTTCTAGCTAAATTATTGTTGAGTGTGCGGCACCAAATTTGCTGCAAACCTTAAATTTTCCTAGGGGTTCGGAAAAGACAACATGGACAGTCTGTTGAGAAACAAATTATATTTTTATCTTCATTACACAATACTATTAGACAATCATAGTAAACTTTAGGGTATTTCACTGAATAAATCTATCGTACATTTGTGCATAAAGTATATAACAGACCAGTTGAAGAGAACTCCATTTCTTAAATAACTAATTGCTATATTTCAATTGCTTATAATATATTTGTGGAATGAGCTGAGCCTGATCATTATCTCTCCCTTCAAAACTACTTTTGACTTTAAAACCTTCAAAAACAAATCGGAAATTACTTTAAATAAACATCGATGATCAGAGTACTAGTAACATATCTGTCCATCACTATCTCATATACATATTTTTTTTAGTTATGCCATGGAATACTGCCATCTTTAGACAAGAAACGGACAGACATTTTTTTTTTTTACATCTTTATGGATAGTTATGTCATGGAAAACTGTATAAAGAAACCTGTGAACTAAAAGAAATATGTGGCGACAATTTCTTCTGTTAAAATACATACGTACATTCCTATAATGCTGAGATATATCATAATAAACTGATACTTTTAATAAAAAAAATGATGGCACAATTGGCTTTTTTTTCTTTTTACAGGACAAAAGCCACAAAGGAATCAATTTCCTTACAAATAGAGGTGTATGCTAATTAACATATTCTACATATGAGAGAAACATTGAGTTAAAATATACCTAAAATCTACATGTTTTGGTATTAAGTACAGCAGATGTTAAAATTTGGCAATAAAAAAGATGCCAAGTTCAGGGTAAAACTTTGCATCGGATACCACATAACAAAATGTCTATAATAAAAAGCCTACTTGCAGACATTTAACCTTGTATTAGTAGTGCAGATCTTCACAATAACAAATTTTAATATATTAATTCATTTTCCTGGAAATTACAACGAATTTCCCTTAGTCCCAAACTACTGAGGTTAATTTGAAATATATAAACCCACTTGGATTTTTTTTATTATAACCACAATCTGTGCCATTCAGACTATATATCTCCATGTATCCCTTATGAGAAATTCTCAAAAACAAAAAAGTCACAACTCTAAAAATTGGATTTATGTATTGTAATTTGGAGAACATAATAGATAGGCCATACATTTGTGATAAATGTTAAATTAAATGGCAAGAGTCTCCACCATCCTGTTCTCTATCTCGGGTTCCTCTCACTCCCTGGGGAGAGACGGAGGAGAACTAGGTACAGATATGATCAGAATGCTGCTTATATGACGGTTATAGTGTGCTGACCTTCATAGTTTACTACACATCCAAATTGAAGCCCCCATTTTTGTGAGACATTTTTTCTTTCTTTTTTTTTTTTTT